TTCATTCACAAAACCTGTCTTAAGTGTATGTCTGTCTGTGTTTGAATAGGGGGTGAGCCTGTGACCTGGCTCAGGAACTAAGTATTTATCATTACAAATGACTGGCCAGGCTCCCCAGGGTATTCAATCAAGTGAGCATTAATAGGTAACCTGTCAGACGAGATAAACAACGCACTCAGATTTCTGCTGTAAACCGCCTTTTCTGTGATGTAGGTATGTGGGTGGTGGTCTTGAGCTACACCCCTTCTGTGATGTATGTATGATGTTTCTGGGGGTGGTCTTGATCTACAGGGTGGCAATTTCAAAAGTCTATATAAGGCCTTGCACACCATTGTTCTGGGTTCCTCCTCCTTTCCTGCGTGTGAGGGGAGCACCCTGTTGCAACAGATCAATAAAGATCAGGCTTCCTAGCTGCTTTGCTTCTCAATATTCTCTGGTTGGCCTCTGTTATCTTCTCCTACCAATAGGGAACCTATGTAAGGACTCTATATGGGCTCTTGGATACCCCATAAGGGAAAGGGGCAGATTTTTGTTTACAACATGGGAAATCAGCAAACAGGATTTGAGCTCAAGAGCAGCAACACCTCCTGCGCTTTCTAGCGACTAGGATTCAGAAGCATCGCTGCCTGCAGCTTTTGAAGGCAGAGCGCAGCCATCATGCCTAGCAGCCATCGCTAGGCCTCTCCTCCGCTGTAAATTTGCCCTGTCCTCTTTCAAAGCTGCCCAGGTTTCAAAGCCATCCTGTGGGAGGGAGTTCCGCAGGTCAACTCAGTGCTTCGCGAAGCACGAATTCTGTCGATCTGTCCCGAATCTTCCAACACTCGGCTTCACCCTTCCACAACCCTCCATCGTGCCCCCCCCTTGAGCTCTTCCATGCCCAGGCGGGGGGCAGAGATGGATGTCTGTGTTGAAGCTAGCCTCATGCATAAAACCGACATTTCTATCCGTTGCTCCGCCCTGTTTTGCCCCTGGTCCCGCCCACCACCAGCACACGGTCCCCGGAAGGCGCCGTCTCCGAAGAGGCCTCGCCCCTCGGAAGGGCTGGTGGTTGTTTTTCAAACACCCCGAAGGGAATCTCTCTTGCAAGACAATGCTATGGTGGACGGGCTCTCGGCAGCTTCAAAGACGAACAAGTTCGTTGCAGCGGAAGCTTCCGAAACACAAAGGCCTGTCTTCGGCAGGCGGGGAAATTTCGCAGTCAAGTGAAAAGCGGCCGAAGGTTCGGAGCGAAAGGATTTTGGGGGACGGCTGGCTTGGAAGTTGAAATAAATTGGATTCCATCGGTCTGGGCACAAATAGAGACAAGGGTTCCCTCTCCCACTGGCTGTGTTATCGCAAGTTGTCACAAACCACCACTGAGCAAATTTTATTCTTGCAACTGAAACACTGCAGAGGGTTTGTTTCGCTTTTGGTTGCTTTTTGAGCGTATTATTCACTATTTTTGATGCTTCTCTAAGTGGCTGGGGGTGGGCGTGGGGGGGGTGTTTGGCTTTCTCCCCGCACCCGAATGATTGCATTAACTCACATGCAGATTGAATTAACCAGTTGCTTAACTAGAACTGATATGATTACTCAGCCAAGGGTTATTTCTTTCAAGCAGGAGACAGCCCCCAAAGCACTTCTCCAAATTTAAATAAATAAGTTTTTTCCTTAAAATTTATATACCGCTTGGAGTGGGGGTTTTTTTTGGGGGGGGCACCACTAAGCAATTTGCAAAAAGGATAAAACAATGAAATTATCAATAAGGAGGGTTAAAAACTGGTATTTAAAGTCTTCAGAAATCAGCGCTGGGCTGAAAATGAGATTTTAACGCATTTCGATGTTCTACGTGTCTGGAGAGGCTTGTTTAAATTTTGACCCTTGGGGGCGGGAAACTAAGCCAACTGAAAAGCATGATTTTAATGATGATAATAACAGGAGAGAATGAGATTTTCCTAGGTTCCTACCACGCTGCCAGTTTGAAATACAGGTTGCAGTTTCGTAAACATTCGATGCACTTTGGAAAAAATGAAGCCCTCTGAAAATGCTGAGGACTGGGGGCTTGATCTTTTAAAAAATAATAATAAGGGAGTGGTATCGTCTCCTAGATTTTACCACGCTGCCAGATTTTTTTGCATTGAAATACAGGTTGCAGGTTTGTAAACATGCGTGTAATAATAACAATAATAATAAACATTAGTAGTAGGTTGTGCAGGAGAGAAAATTTATCCTAAGCCCTATTGGACACAGCGGCATATCCGCACTGAGGAAATGCATTCAGGGTGGTTTTAAAAAGGAGGCACCTTTGATTCCTGCCAGAACACACAAGCGAGCTTTTTAAATACTGGCAGGGAGGAAGAAAGAAAGGAAGGAGAAAATGGAATCCGTTAACACCCTTCCTTCTTAAAGCTTAGCCTGTGCACACAAAAAAAAAGGAATCGAATCAATACAGAATCGAATTAATGCAGGGCTGAGAAGGATACCCTCCGCCACTCAAAGATGGGGAGTGGGGCAGAGGACAGAGGAAAGGGGGGGTGCAAGAAAGAAGACCCTCCCCAGAGACCCCACTTACCTTCCGTCAGGCAGGCCGGGGGAAATGTAGTGTGACAACCGCAAGCATGACAGCGCTTTCTCCTGCGCACTGAACGTCCCCCCACTTAGTTAGCTGGTGATCTCAGAAACCTTTGACCGTGGTTAATGAATGACGACTGCTTTAGCAGAGGGGTGGGGGACCCACTCGCCTGCGTAAACATCCCTCCCCCTTGCCTTGGGAGTCAGCCAAGCGAGGCTCCCTTCTCTCCAGACAGACGGACGGATGGATGGATGGATGAATAAGGACTGTCTCTCCTGCCCCACACACGCCCGGCTATGGCAACTGGGAAGATCTGGGGAGAAGCAGGCAGAGGATATGGGGTGGAGGCTTTGGGGCACCGTGGAAACGTAGCGTGAGAGCTGACGGGGAGGAAGGGAGCCCAGGAAAAGGACAAAGGACTCGCTCAAAATAGCAGGGATTTTTTTTTTAATGTGGCAGCAGGTGGGGCCAAAGCGGTGGGGTTTTGTGGAGTGGGTGGGGTTTTGGAAACGGGCCATGGGTTCAGCTGCAGGTTACCCCGGCACGCATCAATTGGGAGGCCTGATTTCGCATGCTTGTGTGCATCTAGTGTTTACACCATCGTAAAGAGGTTCAGAAAAGGAGGGTGGATCCGTATGAAAGGCGTTCCAAGTTAAAATCAACGCACGTCGACGCAGCCCCACGTAAAAACTTCATGCACCGTGAACAAACGTTCATTTCTAAATGCCCCAAGCAAATCAAAGCTATTTTAACACGTATAAGAAGAAATAACATTGCACAAACCCCCAATAAAACGATGTAAAACCAAAATTATTTTTTCGGAAAAGCCAGAACAAACATAACATTATGAATTTCCCCAGGCAAGATACAGCAGCCTCTTTTAAGTAAATAAAAATCCCCTATCAATTATTTCAGACAGAAAACGTGTGGTCTTTGGTACTGAGTATCTATCCTGTCAAAAGAGCAGATAAACGATGTGGTCTTACCCCAGCTGGACTACAATTCCCATCAGCCCCCACCAGCGCAGCTGTATGGGAGTTGTAGTGTGAAAGATCAAGCTGGGGAAGCCCGAATGGACCTCTCTAACGTTTGACCCGCCAGTGTGGAAGTCAGAGAGCTCTGTCCGAAACTGCCGCAATTCCACATGTTCGCCCGAGGCGAGGAACAGAAATCATGCAAGCGAATATGAGCAGAGTTCCCTCTTGTCATACATTTCAGTCCATTAACATTATATAACGACATTACACACTGGCCAACGAAATGAGCCAAAGGGAAACCTTGATGCAGAACCTGGGCACAAGAGCCACTCTTCCTTCCTGTTGTTTCCAGCAACAAGCATTCAGAAGCATCTAATAGCCTTCCCTTCCACAAATGTTCCTAATCCTTTTCTAAAGCCATCATTGCCTCCTGTGGCAGCGAGTTCCACAGTTCAACAGCGCGCTGGGTGAAGAAGGAATTCGTTTTATCTGTCCTGAATCTCCCAACATTCCACAATTCATTCCACAATCGATAAGGGACGCTCGAGATAAAGGAGGCTGCCTGGGAGGGGGGAGGTAAAGACAGCGAACTTGCAAGGAGAGGAGACAGGAAGACTCAAGCAATGAGGAGAGAAATTGGAAGAAAAGGAGGAGCAAAAAACTGCTCCAGCTAAGGGAAAGACACAAAGGCAAACAAGAGGGAAAGGGGTGTTGAAAGGAAACAGCTGATCAGCAAGCGATCAGGAGGGAGATAAGGGATGCTAGCGATAAAGGAGGCTGCCTGGGAGGGAGGAGGTAAAAGCCCATGGATCCTCAGGATTTTTACATTGGGTCACCCCAAATTCACCATCAGATCACACTGAATGTCCATGGCTACAGCCTGCACCAAAAAAATCACACATCTACTGTTGCGTGGGGCCACAATGGTGTGAAAACATGGTTACAAAGCACGGATCCACATGGATCCTCAGGATTTTTGCATTGGGCTACCCCAAACTCACCATCAAATCACACGCCTGTGGCCACAGTATGAACCACAAAAATCATACATCCACCATTTCGTTCAGAATTTTTTTTTCTTGTTTTCCTCCTCTAAAAACTAGGTACGTCTTATGGTCAGGTGCGTCTTATGGAGTGAAAAATACGGTATATTAGTCTTGGCCAAAACAGATGGGTTTTAGCGGAAGCCGGACTGCAGCAGAATGGAAACTGCGGCGATTGCAACTAACGCCGGAGGAAATGGAAATCTCTCACTCTTTAAACACCCCTAGTTTAAAGGCACAGGAGTTCAGAAATAAACGTGACCAGGCTATCACTGAGAAAAGGGTGGGGGCTATTTCTAATCAATGCTTTGCGGGGTCCAATATCCTGGAAATCAACCAAGAGGCCCCTTGCAGCAACCTGTTGCGTGTTTTCTAGGGAAGGACTCGCTATTCTTTATCTCATCCCGACAGGGCGCCATTCGAACTCACCGCTGCCTGGAGTTCCGGGTTCTGGCTGTACACGGCGAGCTGCCTGAAAGGCACGTTCTGCTCGTTGAAGGAGATGGTCATGGCAAGCAAGGCGTCGTAGCTCCTCTGCCGGCAGAAGGCGGACAGCTCCTGCTCCAAACCGGGACGGCGCAGGAAGGCCTGAGTGGAGAGGAGGATTGTGAGAAGAGACGAGGAGGAAGGCAACACAGGCACACCTGAAATGGTTTCTGGCCCCTTCCTGTGCTCACCTGTAGGTTCATGTATACGGCGCTGAGCGCAATCACAGCATTTTCCCCAGAGAGGGCCTTGAGGTCCTTCCTCAGCATCTGGTCTGTGGTGAGTCCTGGGTCATAAAAACATAAGAAGAGCTTTCCTGGATCAGGCCAGCGGCCCATCTACCGTATTTTTCGCTCTATAGGACGCACCCGACCATAGGACGCACCTTGTTTTAGAGGGGGGGAACAAGAAAAAAAAAATCTCCCCCTCTCAGCTCAGCGCCCCTTCAGTGAAGCAGCAGGAGAAATGGAGCCCCTTCCGTTTCTCCTCCCGCTTGGCTGAAGGGGCGCTGCGCAGCTCTCCCTCTCTGCTGAAGCCAGGAGAGTCTTGCTCTCCCAGCTTCAGCGAAAGGAACCCGAAGCCTTCGGAGCACAGCGCGAGTTCCCACTGCGCCCCTAAGGCTTCAGGGATAGCCACCTGAAGCCTTCGGAGCGCAGCGGGAACTCGTGCTGCGCTCCGAAGGCTTCGCGTTCCTTTCGCTGAAGCCAGGAGAGACAGTGAGCACCGACCCCTCTCGCTCTCCAGGCTTCAGCGAAAGCAGCTCCCTCTGCGCTTTGGAGGCTTCGCGTTGCTATCGCTGAAGCCAAGAAGCCTGCATTCGCCCCATAGGACGCACAACCATTTCCCCTTAATTTTTGGAGGGGGAAAAGTGCGTCCCATAGAGCGGAAAATATGGTAGTTCGGCATCCCATTCCCACAATAGCTAAAAATGGCCCAAGAACCTGGGAATCGAGATCGACTGCCTCTGGACCTGCAGGTTCCATAAGAACATCAGAAGAGCTGTCTAGCTGGACCAGGTCAATGGCCCACTTAGTCCAGCATCCCGTTCTTGCTGGGTCCAGCCGGATGCCCCGATGGGAAGCCCCTAGGCGGGACCTGAGTTCGAAAGCACTTGCCCTGCCTGTGATTACTAAGAAATGGTAGTCATACCCCATGTTACATCTGCTTCATGTTACATTCTTTCAGGATATGTCCCGCGGCAACCCGGAAGTACCGGAAAGGGTTACTTCCAGGTTTCGCCGCTCGCACATCCGAAAAGCGAAAAATGACGTCACGCACATGCGCAGAAACGGTGAATTGCAACCTGCACATGCGCAGGCGCGCCGCTGCGGGTTGCACTCTTTTCATGTTGCAAACGGGCCTCTGGAACGGATCCCGTTCGCAACCAGAGGTACCACTGTACAGTCATACCTCGGGTTTAAGTAGCTTTGGGATGAATATTTTCGGGTTGTGCTTCACAGCGACCTGGAAGTAACGGAGTGCGTTATTTCTGGGTTTCGCAGCTCGCGCATACGCTCGAAATGATGTCACGCGCATGCGCGGAAGCGGCGAATCGTGACCCGCAGATGCGCGGACGTGGGTTGCGTTCGCTTCAGGATGAGAATGGGGCTCCGGAACGGATCCCATTCGCATCCAGAGGTACCACTGTATTCAGAAGCACCTTGCCTCCAGCAGTGGGAGGGAGTTCCAGAGTTTAACTCTGCTCTGGCACGAATAAGGGCTTCCTTTCGCTTGCCGTCAATCTCCCAATATTCAGCTTCAATGGTTGACCCCAAGTTTTACCATATTTTTTGCTCTATAAGACTCACTTTTCCCCTCCTAAAAAGTAAGGGGAAATGTGTGTGCGTCTTATGGAGCGAATGCAGGCTGTGCAGCTATCCCAGAAGCCAGAACAGCAAGAGGGATTGCTGCTTTCACTGCGCAGCGATCCCTCTTGCTGTTCTGGCTTCTGAGATTCAGAATATTTTTTTCCTTGTTTTTCTCCTCCAAAAACTAGGCGCGTCTTGTGGTCTGGTACGTCTTATAGAGCAAGAAATACGGTAGCTTTACAAGAGAGGGAGAGAAACCTTCCTTCCCCCAATCCACGCTCCCAGCACGATGCATCATCTTATTCACCTCCAATAGTTTTGGTTGCCTTTTCTCAACCGTTCCGGCTCTGCAATATCCTTTAGGAGGCAAGACTAAGGAGGACGGAGGACGGCTCATACCTGAGACATCAAACTTGGCCCTCTGCAGGGCTTCAAAGATGACGCTTCTCGAGGGCAGATCGGGGAACTTCGACTCCAAAAGGGAAGCGTAATGGGTGTCCTTCGGGGTCACTTTGCCAGCTTCGGGGGACATGTTGACACAGTCCAGAACGATCGTGCCTGCAGAGTCAAGGAAGAACCAGGATCTAGACGCGACACACGACAGTCCAATCCGGAAAGAATCTTTTACGTTTGCAGGTTTGAAAGACGAGAAGGGTGATAACTATGGTTCCCAAACTTTGGGGGGCCAACCTCCCCTCCTTGGTTCTACCCCCTAAAGGTAAAGGGACCCCTGACCATTAGGTCCAGTTGTGGCCGACTCTGGGGTTGCGGCGCTCATTACGCTTTAGTGGCCGAGGGAACTTCCAGGTCATGTGGCCAGCAGGACTAAGCCGCTTCTGGCAAACCAGAGCAGCGCACGGAAACGCCGTTTACCTTCCCGCCGGAGTGGTACCTATTTATCTACTTGCACTTTGAGGTGCTTTCGAACTGCTAGGTTGGCAGGAGCAGGGACCGAGCGACAGGAGCTCACCCCGTCACGGGGATTCGAAACGACGACCTTCTGATCGGCAAGTCCTAGGCTCTGTGGTTTAACCAACAGCCCCACCCGCGCCCCGGTTCTACCCCCTACCCATCCCTATTGAAAAGCTTTATGCAGAATAGTGGTTTGCACAACCCACTAGGGAGGAGAGTAACAGAACAAAATTCAAAACAGTAAAAATCAATTGCACATTTATTCAAAACCCAGTTAGAACTATTCGGTTTAACTTATGCAGCAAAATTGATCCAGTGGTGCTAGTTTTTCAAAGCCTAGGAGCCAGTGACACCTCCAGCACCCCCATGCCACCCCATTGCTTCTTAGTGACCCCTAGGGAGCGGAAACACCCACTTTGGGAACCCCTGGGTTAGAAGACAACTGTTCAGAGGATATCATTTTCTTGCTGATTTAGTAGCAAGCTACCAAGGCTGCAAGGGACGCATGTGGCGCTGTGGGTTAAACCACAGGATCGGCCTAGGACTTGCCAATCAGAAGGTCGGCGGTTCGAATCCCCGCCACGGGGTGAGCTCCCGTTGCTCGGTCCCTGCTCCTGCCAACCTAGCAGTTCGAAAGCACATCCAAATGCAAGTAGATAAATAGGTACCACTCTGGCGGGAAGGTAAACGGTGTTTCCATGCACTGCTCTGATTCACCAGAAGTGGCTTAGTCCTGCTGGCCACATGACCTGGAAGCTGTACGCCAGCTCCCTCGGCCAGTAAAGCGAGATGAGCGCCGCAACCCCAGAGTCGGTCACGACTGGACCTAATGGTCAGGATCCCTTCACCACGGCTGCAAAGGATTGCTCTCTGAAGAAGAATTCTGTCCAGCTCCGAAGCTGGCTGCCTTAACTAGAACAACAGATGCGGGAGATATTTGTCAGAACATCAGAAACCTCTGCCAGATCAGGCCAATGGCCCATCTAGGCTGGCGTCCTGTTCTCACAGGGGCCAAACAGATGGCGAAAGGAAGACCTGAGCTCTCTCCCGTCCTGCAGTTTCCAGCAACAGGTATTCACAAGCATTGCTGTTCCAGCTGTGGAGGCAAAGCGGAGCCATCTTGGCTAGAATCCATTATCAGCCTTCTCTGCCATGAATTTATCTAATCCTCTTTTCGGGAGGGAGCCCCAAAAACCTAGAGGGCGCCATGTTGCCCACCGCTGCTCTGCAGGGCTACGGATTCCCCACCTGCCAGCATTTGCCTGCAGGTTGTTGTTTTTTTAACGAGCAACCACTTCCACTCACGTCGCTGCAAGCCGCTAGTCCTCACCGTGCAAGAGAGCTGCTGTCTGCCTGTCCAAAACCTGCCCCGGGCTTTGCAGGATCTTCTCCGTCACCAGCGTGGTGCACGAACCCACCGGCTCTGCCGTGACTCTGCAGGGAGGGCCCCGCTCCCGCTCCAGGGGCCGGTGGTCGATCACCTCAACAACCGCCTCCTCCAGCCCCGCATCCCCACTGCAAAACAGGTGAGACGTAGCAGTGTCAATATACGCACCGCAGCATGAGCAGATACTGGAAGACATTTCAGCTTTGCTCGCTGCGCATCCCGTCCTGAGAACGTGGCTCTCACCGCTTGAGTCAAAGCTGGGGCGCCACTGGGCATGCTTGCAGGTGCACCACCAGGCCAGTAGGGGGAGGTGTTTGCTGAGGGAGGGGCCAGGCCCAAGGGTGTAGAGACAGCTCCCCTAGCGTCCATGTGCTGCAACTGCATCTATCCCCAAATCGTAATTGCGTGGGTCTGTTGGCCAATTGAGTTGTTCTAAGCGCAGTTGGCCCTGTGGTCTAAATCACAGAGCCTAGGACTTGCCGATCAGAAGGTCGGTGGTTCGAAACCCCGTGATGGCGTGAGCTCCCGTTGCTCAGTCCCTGCTCCTGCCAACCTAGCAGTTCGAAAGCACGTCAAAGTGCAAGTAGATAAATAGGTACCACTCTGGCGGGAAGGTAAACGGCGTTTCCGTGCGCTGCTCTGATTCGCCAGAAGCGGCTTAGTCATGCTGGCCACATGACCTGGAAGCTGTATGCCGGCTCCCTCGGCCAGTAAAGCGAGATGAGCGCCCCAACCCCAGAGTTGGCCGCAACTGGACCTGATGGTCAGGCGTCCCTTTACCTTTAAGCATAGGGGCTGGGGGACAGCCGTGGGGTTTCCCTGGCACCTATGAAGCCTCTGAGCTCCGTCACCGTCCCCTTGGCCACCAAAATCACACACTGCTGAAGGACGAAGTTGGAAGAGTGACGCTCTTTCTCAATTCCTCCTTCAGCTCTATGTGCTTTTCAAGGCATCCGATTAATTCCACCGGCTCCAGATTTTATCCAGATCCCTTGGAAAAGTGATGTGTGTGTGTGTGCACGTGCACACGCGCCCTTTCTCTTTCTGTCTCTTGTGGGGTGCTGATCTGGGCAAAGGGGATGGAGAAGCCACAAAATCGGGGTGCGGTTCAAAAATGCTAATGCACCCACAGTGGCCTAAAAAAGGCTGGCAACCCATAGCTCAAGAGACTCTCCTCTCACATCCAAGTCCTTTGGGTGCCCTACCCTCTCCCCTACCTAGACAGCATCTTAAAAAGCAGAGACATCACCTTGCCAACAAAGGTCCGTATTGTTAAAGCCATGGTTTTCCCAGTAGTGATGTATGGAAGTGAGAGCTGGACCATAAAGAAGGCTGAATTGATGCTTTTGAATTATGGTGCTAGAGGACTCTTGAGAGTCCCATGGACTGCAAGAAGATCAGACAGATCCATTCTGAAGGAAATCAGCCGTGAGCGCTCACTGGAAGGACAGATCCTGAAGCTGAGGCTCCAAGACTGGCCACCTCAGGAGAAGAGAAGACTCCCTGGAAAAGACCCTGATGTTGGGAAAGATGGAGGGCAGAAGGAGAAGGGGACGACAGAGGATGAGATGGTGGGACAGTGTTCTCGAAGAGACCAGCATGAGTTTGACCAAACTGCGGGAGGCAGTGGAAGAGAGGAGGGCCTGGCGTGCTCTGGTCCAGGGGGTCACGAAGAGGCGGACACGACTAAACGACTAAACAACAACAGCAACAACCCTCTCCACTGACCTCGGCAGGACGTGGTGGTCAACCAGCGTCAGCGAAAGAAGGCCTGCCTGCTTCAGGGTGGCCAGGTCAATCTCGTCCCGGAAGACGAGCGAACTCTCCACGATGCGCTGCTCTTTGAGGAGGAAGGTGCTCTCCGTGCGCAGAGGGAATTCTGAGCGGGGGATGTTCAGGACCGGGATGAAGGCTGCCTTCGAGTCCGGGGCGGTCTGCGGGGCGCAACGAAAGGTACATTAAAATCCAGGTCTCTGTTACACGGATAAAGTTGCTCACGTTACCCAGTCACTGAGTACCAATAAGAGCCTTGCAGATGTCTCTGAGCAACTGTGGAATTGGATGCCCTCAAACTCTCCTTTTGCAGGGGGGGACAAGCAGGTTTCTAGTCCTTAAGGATATAAAAACAGGCCCGAAACTGCACGAGCAAAGCCCGGCATCAGTCACGAAGACACATAGATCAGGAAGTGTTGGGGTATAAAGCAAGGAGACGAAAGGTATAAAGAAAAATATTACGAAGAACCTGCGCAAGAGAGGCAATTAAGCAATATTCCAAGATAAGGCATAAACAGATCATGTCTCATATATATATATATATATGGTCTTCTCCCTTATACCTGACCATACACAATTGTGTTACAGTGGTACCTCGGGTTAAGAACTTAATTTGTTCCGGAGGTCCGTTCTTAACCTGAAACTGCTCTTAACCTGAGGTACCACTTTAGCTAATGGGGCCTCCTGCTGCCGCCACACGATTTCTGTTCTCATCCTGAAGCAAAGTTCTTAACCCGAGGTACTATTTCTGAGTCAGTATATACTTTTCCTTTTGTTGAATTGCTGGAATACAGTGGTACCTTGGGTTACAGACACTTCAGGTTACAGACTCCGCTAACCCAGAAATTGTACCTCGGGTTAAGAACTTTGCTTCAGGATGAGAACAGAATTTGTGCGGTGGCGGCGGGAGACCCCATTAGCTAAAGTGGTGCTTCAGGTTAAGAACAGTTTCAGGTTAAGAACGGACCTCCAGAACGAATTGAGTTCTTAACCCGAGGTACCACTGAACTCTGTTCATCTTGTTACATGTCTGATAAAATGATTTTTTAAAAAAAATATTTTTTAAAAAAGGAAGAAAGAAAATGTTGAGCGGCTGAGGGGCAATGTCCTTCCCTGTTCTCAGTCTTTTCTTACACAATCCACACCAAATCCATTTCAGAGCACTCTGAGCCCAGAGCCGCCACATGGGGATGACCTCATCGGCCCCACGCCAGCCTCGCAGGCAAACGCAGAACTGCAGAACCAACCGTGGAAAGGGAGCAAGGATGGCTCTTCAAAAGGGGCAAAGGGAAATGCTCCAAAGGGTGGAAGCGGATGATCAACCTTTGCAAAGAAGTAAGCGAGGGCCAAAGCGGACACCATGGAGTCCAGGTCGCAGGCCTCGTTCCCCATCACCACGTGGACCTCCTGGTTCCTCTGGACGTGATCCTACCAAATAAAAACAAAGAAGAAATTGGAGAGGAAACGTAGAGGTTGAGCCACGGCTTTCCCTGGAGCAGGTCCATTCCCAGGTAGGGCTGGGAGAGACTCTTGCCTGAAACCCTGGAGAGATGCTGCCAGTCCGTGCAGACAAGCCTGAGCTAGATGGAAGAAGGGTCCAACTCAAGGCTGCTTCCTACGTCTACACGTTTTGCAAATGGAGACAAACGGGTGGCTTGTGGATCGAGCCCAGGAACGAGACGCCTGGGTTTACCATTTGCCAGTCAGCGCTGTACTTACGCCCAGAGAAGCCCGTGTAGCCACAGGCCTGCTCCTCGGAAGGAAGGTGGTTTCTGGAGGACGAGAGCGCCTGTGGATTCGGGGGCAAAGGGGGGTGTTCTTGAGGACCTACAACGAAAGTTGTAGCCTTTCGGCGCTGGGTGCTAGGACAAGGGTCGATCTCCGGTTAGAGAGGGCAGGGTGAAAATCTCCCACTCGGTTGTGAAAACCCAGGCATTGAAAACACACACCTCTCAAAAGAATCCTGGGAACTGTAGTTTGGTAAGATTGGTGGGCGCTGCACCTTTGTGAGGAGTGCGCTACAGTTCCCAGGATTATTTTGCCTTAGTTTCTTTCTCTCTCTCTGCCTAAGCATATTCCTTCCCTTCCTGCCCCCACCGATAATTTTTAAAAGGGTCACAACTCTGACACGGACACCCCACTATTACGAACGCAAAACCTTTTGCCAATTGTGCAAGCATTATTTATTGTTTATTATTTATAGAGATCTACATTTGTGCATTGCGGTTGCTACCGACACCCCAGCGCCCCAGTCTTTGTGTTTTCCTCCTCCCTTCCCATCCTTGTTTTCCTTTTGTGTTATGCCTTTTAAGATGGTCAAATCTGAAGGCGGTCACTGTCTTGCTTACTGCTCTGGGACGCTTTCCTGCTGAAGAGCAGAGTCTAAAACAAGAGATTGGAATACCACCAGCACAAACTAGTCTCTGCCACGAAGCACCTTACACTCTTAAGTTAAGGTGGGGAAAGGGGAACAAACTGAAGGGAAGCTCATCCGTGTAGTGTAGGGGTTAGCGTGTCAGACTAGGACCTGGGAGAGCAGGGTTCCAATCTCCCCACTCAGCCATGAAGCCAGATGTGAGCCAATTACTGTATTTTTTGCTCTATAAGACTCATTTCCCCCCTCCTAAAAAGTAAGGGGAAATGTGTGTGCGTCTTACGGAGCGAATGCAGGCTGCGCAGCTATCCCAGAAGCCAGAACAGCAAGAGGGATTGCTGCTTTCACTGCGCAGCGATCCCTCTTGCTGTTCTGGCTTCTGGGATTCAGAATATATTTTTTCTTGTTTTCCTCCTCCAAAAACTAGGTGCGTCTTGTGGTCTGGTGCGTCTTATAGAGCAAAAAATATGGCACTATCCCTCTCGGCCTAACCCACTTCACAGTTGTTGTGGGGTTCAGTGAAGAGAGGGAGAACCATGTCAGCCACCTTGAGCTCCTTAATAATTATAAATAATAATAAATTTTATTTATACCTCGCCCTCCCCGGCCAAAGCCGGGCTCAGGGCAGGTTGACACCAATAAAATCACAGTAAAAACATAATAGAAGGGGAAAAGATAGGGGGAAAAACCCAATTTAAAATACGGGTTAAAATACAATTTAAAATGCAGCCTCATTTTAAAGTAGCTGATAAATCCTTGGAGAAAAAGGTGGAATATCGATGCAATAAATAATAAAAGTAAACGAGGCAATTCGCCTTCTTTATCTTCCGAGGAGACCGTACCGCAATGGAGGCCTATACCATGTACCTTTCCGAATATAAGGTTCGGATCCAATTGCAAGGTGCGACCGCAAATAACACAAGGCCGCTGTGAGGTGCATTTGGGGTGAGAAGCTGTCGAGAAGCTGGCAAGCGCTTTGCAGAAGCTTTCCCGGTTTAAGCCCATTTCCCTGGCCGCTGGGGAGACCTTGAAAGGTTTTTCTCCTCCGCACAACCTAAGAGGCACCAGGCGCCGTTTCCCGGCTACTGCGAAACGCCACAGCCCATTTGCTAAAGCACTCCAAGAGATAAGGCGGCCCAAGGTAAACTTGATTTCCTCCCGGGAGCAGCCTTGAAAGCATGAGGCTGTGGCTAGGGTGGAGGCAGAGAAAACAGCCGCAGATGGTCGAGATGCAAAAAGGGAAATTAAAATCGAGGAGGGAGAGAGTGGTTTTTAAAAAAAGAAATCAAACAGGAGAGATAGGGGTCAGCACTTTGTGCAGAACATTGCTCGAGGGCCTTGGAGAAACGGGTGCCCTTTTAGAAGAAGATCTCTCTCTCAAAGCACATTAGTCCAGTGTTATTGCAGCCCATATAGGCTGATGTAGAGACATCACCTTGCTGACAAAGGTCTGTATTGTTAAAGCTATGGTTTTCCCAGTTCAGTGGTACCTCGGGTTACATACGCTTCAGGTTACATACGCTTCAGGTTACAGACTCCGCTAACCCAGAAATATTACCTCGGGTTAAGAACTTTGATTCAGGATGAGAACAGAAATCGTGCTTTGGTGGCACAGCAGCAACAGGAGGCCCCATTAGCTAAAGTGGTTCTTCAGATTAAGAACAGTTTCAGGCTACGAACGGACCTCTGGAACGAATTAAGTACCGTACTTAACCCAAGGTACCACTGTAGTGATGTATGGAAGTGAGAGCTGGACCATAAAGAAGGCTGATTGCCGAAGAATGGATGCTTTTGAATTCTGGTGCTGGAGGAGACTCTTGAGAGTCCCATGGACTGCAAGAAGATCCAACCTCTCCATTCTTAAGGAAATCAGCCCTGAGTGCTCACTGGAAGGACAGATCCTGAAGCTGAGGCTCCAAGACTTTGGCCACCTCATGAGAAGAGAAGACTCCCTGGAAAAGACCCTGATGTTGGGAAAGATGGAGGGCACAAGGAGAAGGGGACGACAGAGGACGAGATGGTGGGACAGTGTTCTCGAAGCTACCAGCATGAGTTTGACCAAACTGCGGGAGGCAGTGGAAGACAGGAGTGCCTGGCGTGCTCTGGTCCAGGGGGTCACGAAGAGGCGGACACAACTAAACAACAACAAGTTCAGCATCTTATTTCTCACCACGGCCAATCGGATGCCTCCAAAGAGCCTGAAGGGAGGGTGCGAGGAACACGGCCCTCTCTTTCTCCACGGCTCGCACCTTGAATTCAGAGGCACAGCCACCCACCTCAGATCTTGGTGCACCTGGGTTAGAAACTTAGATATAGAAGCTAGGCGTACAATGGACTAAGGCAGAGGTTTTTAAACTGCAGTAGCCAACCTAGCGCCCAGAAATCTCCATGTACAGTGGACGCTCGGTTTGCGAATGTGATCCATGCGGGATGCGCGTTTGCAACCTGCAGCGTTCACAACCCACGTCTGCTCACATGCGGGTTGCGATTCGGCGCTTCTGCGCATACGCAAAGCTCAATTTAGCGCTTCTGCGCATGCGCGACCGGCAAAACCCGGAAGTCACCTGTTCCGGTACTTCCGGGTTTTGGTGGTCCGCAACCCAAAAAAATGCAACCTGAAGCGGATATAACCTGAGGTATGACTGTAGTCGCATTTGGACCCGCGTCAGTAGCAAAAGGCGCCTGGTGAATTTCGAGCGCTGGGGTGCAGCCGTTGTGGCGGATGATGGGTTCAGATACCTAGTGTCTCTTGTCTGTAACTTTTCCGTTGCCCCCACCACGAGAAGAAGAAAAAAGGAAGCGTGAAAAGATCACTTGGGTAGTCCTGGTGATTTAATAACACTCACAAACCACTAACAGGATTAAAAATAGCAGCAACATCTCTTTGTGTTTTGCAATGCAGTGCTTCGGCCAAGTCATGTTCACAGAAATATACCCAGAGAATGTGTATCAGGGAAATAAATGCAGGAATTTGGGGCTAAGCAGCTTAAGGTACGCGGGTGGCGCTGTGGGTACAACCTCAGCGCCTAGGGCTTGCCGATCGCATGGTCGGCGGTTCGAATCCCCACGGCGGGGTGAGCTCCCGTCTTTCAGTCCCAGCTCCTGCCCACCTAGCAGTTCGAAAGCACCCCAAAAAGTGCAAGTAGATAAATAGGTACCGCTTCATAGCGGGAAGGTAAACAGCGTTTCAGTGCGCTGCGATGGTGCTGGCTCGCCAGAGCAGCTTCGTCACGCTGGCCATGTGACCCGGAAGTGTCTCCGGACAGCGCTGGCCCTCGGCCTCTTAAGTGAGATGCGCGCACAACCCTAGAGTTGGTCACGACTGGCCCGTACGGGCAGGGGTACCTTTACCTTTACCCAGCTTGTTTTAGATGCCCGTTCTAATTTGTGAGTGTGTTTTGGATGCCTGTTCCATGGCGTTTCTCGAACTTGGGTCCCCAGCTGTCGTTGGACTACACCCCCCATCATCCCTGACCACTGGTCCTGCTAGCTAGGGATGATGGGAGCTGTAGTCCAGCAACAGCTGGGGACCCAAGTTCGAGAAACGGAAACACGGCTTTGCAAAAACCTGTGTCTTCAGCATAATGGCAAAAAATGTGTCTCTTATGCAAAACCATTTATCATTACTGAAGCACTGAATATTCTTTTCTGGAGGTTTCTTTTTTTAATTGCAAACTGACATAGAAATGTGGAGAACTGAGCTTAAGACTGGGGGGAAAACGAAAAACTTGAGAGAAACCAAAATCAACCACAGACATCTTTTCCCATTAAAAGCAACCTCTCCAGCTAAAGAAAAGGAAGGAAATTTTCATAGACGCAAACTCCCTCTATTAAAGTTTGTCGGGCTAAGGGAGACAGGTCTGAAAATTATTATTATTATTATTTATTGAATTTATATAAAACGAGGGTGCACTGCAAACAGTGGCAATCAGATAACTGCTGATGGGGCAGGAAGTCTGCTGATTCAGGACACGAGGTGATTTATCACCCTATCTGTGGGTTTGGACAGAGCCTGGTGGCGAAGCGAGAAAGCTCTGCCTCAGCAAACCAGGAC